TCTTCTTTTTAATATACACGCTTTTCTCTCGTTGGAACTACTATTAACAATTTTTAGCGTTTTCTATTTACAAGGCACTACTAAAAAGGTCCTAACATAAATGTCATAAATTTATACATAAGTGACATAAATAAACAGTTGCATGCAATTCTACCTGCAAATACAAGAGAGAACTTGGCATGTTGTGAATGCCAGATAAAATGGTGAGACAAAAACTTTTTAGCAAGAATACCAGACTTTGTGGCATTTTTCTGATAATGTGTCATGGCAGAGAGGAATTTCCAGAATTTGACAGATACACACCTTCTACTTACTGCTATGATAGCTACACTCACTTGATTCTACTAACAATGAAACAGATCTACAGAAAACTATACATAGGACTGAGGTGGTCGAAAGCATTTTAAAACAGTTTATACACAATTCTGGTTCTCATTTACATCATACTTGAAAACTGAAAAATATGTTTTTGTCTATTACTCCTGCATCAATAGTAAGGCTGATCAGTCTGACAAGATCAAAATGGAAGCTGATGTCCAAAACAATCTCAAGTCCGTTGTTAACTGGGGCAAAAGATGGCTTGTTAATTTTAACACCTCCAAAACTAAACTTCTCTCAATTAATGATCAGAGAGACCCCTTGCTGCCTTCCATCAACATGGTTGATGCTATCCTCCAAGAAAGTGTTTTATTGTGCCTTCTCAGGCTAACATTCTCAGCTGATATTAAGTCTTAAGACCATATTGAATCCATTGCTAGGTCAGCTGCTAAGAAGGATGGTTCACTGTGTCATGCGAGACAACTTTTCTCTCCAGAATCTATCATGCATACCTATGTCTACCATTTGTCCATGCTTAGAATATTGCTGCCACAGATGGTCTGCTACCCCTGCTATTTACCTTGAGCTCCTTGATAAAATCCAAAGAACTATCAGCAATATTATTGGTCCTGATCTGTCAGCTCGGCTTCAGTCACTTTTCCACCACCTTAAGGTTGCCTCTCTCTGCCTTTTCTATAAATACTTTCATGGTATTTGTTCAAATGAGCTCTTCACTATGGTACCTAAACTTTTTAAATTTAAGTTCAGTACTAGGCAGGCGTCGAGATCTCATCAATTTACAGTTGAGCTGACTAGATGTAGCCATAAATTTTATGCTAACTGGTTTTTCTTGCACTTCTCACTTGTGGAACTCCCTTCCAACTCCATGCTTTCCAGCCAATTTTAATCTGCAAAAATTTAAATGCAATATCAATTGCTATCTACTGTCCTGCTGATGACTCTTTTCTCTTCCCACTCATTAGTAATGTTTTTGTTCTTCCACACCCTGTGAGCCCTTGTGTCTTAGTGGCTTTACTGCCTTGAATAGGATAAAACAGATTTTAAAAAAGAAAAGTTTTTTAATACTTTTAAAAGAGGTTTTCTTTAATATGCACAAAAATTAAATATTCTTATCAAAAATATATGAAAACTAAAATTGAAAGAGAAAAACTGTTAGTAGAATGGTACGCAATAAATATAGTAGAATAAAACTGAAGACATTGCAATGTGGGGGGAGGATAAAGTAAAAAAAATCATAAAAGTTAAGAATGTCAATGGCTTAAAAACAAAAGGAGATAAATTATTTTGAAATGTCAGCACTCTGATGCATTCCTTTTTTTAAGAGTATGAAAAAAAGAATGATACATCTTAGGAGCATCCAAGATGAACAAGCGGCCATTTTGAAAAATTGCTTTGCATAAAACAAGTTATAAATGAGTAAGTGAAGTTATTTTATGAATCTCAGATTAATTCATGTGAAAAAAAATGGTGAACAAACTGGAATTGGTTGGTTGGTTGGTTGGTCAATTCTGTGACATGTCAAAAATCCCGTTTGCGTTATTTAATGTTAAATCTTACTTATTATAAAGCGCAGATTATGTGTGTATGTGTGTGTGTCTGTACGTTTATATATTGGATCAGATTTCCTACATTTTTCAACTGATTTCAACAAAACTTCACAGAACTGCGTAAAATTACCTTGCGGTGGTTCTGACAGTGCCAAAAATTGGAAAAACACAAATGTTTTTGCACGAAATCAATTTGAAAACATGATAAAACACGATTCTGTCGCCAAAATGAAAGGGGGACAACTCATCTCGAGTTATACTTATTATAAAACCCAGGTTGTTTGTGTGTGTGTGTGTGTGTGTGTGTGTTCATTTATATATGGGATCGGATTTCCTACATTTTTCAACTGATTTCAACAAAACTTCACTTTTTTTTGGCAGGTAGTGTTTCTTATTGTCTTGAACACTTTTTTCTTTATTTTTACATTCAGAATGCTTTAAAAATTTCATTTACAAGACAATTGTTTATAATAAAATTCTATTCAATCGATAGACTTATAACAATTGAAAACAATGTTTTTGTTTGAGTTTGGGTTTGACCAATTCATAAAAAAAAACAAAAAAAATAATTAAGACATGCATTAAACAATAATCTTTGTCAATTTTATTTTTCAGTCTTTATGATGGCCGATACTTGATCTATCTCTTACTGTTACATCCCTGAGCAACGCTGGGCTCTACTGCTAGTTTGGGATAAAGTAATACAAGGATTAAAATCATTACATGGAAATAATGGTCAACCAGGCTAGTGTCACTAACCATTACCCAACACTGAGGCACAATTGACCCATGGATAGTGTTGTAACCTAGAAAGGGTTACTGAATGAAGAATAACCAAAACGGAGGTTGGAAATGAAATGGTAATCTTTATAACATCAACAAAATACAATACTCGCCAGTGACTTTAAGTAGGTAAACTCTGCCAGTGGAAGACCACTTAGACAGCATATTACCCTCCCCCCACTTACAATAATGTCCAACATATTTATGAGGATTGGGACACACCTATTAGTGTTCTTAGGTATGGCATATAACACTATCTGTTGTAACCTAGAAAGGGTTACTGAATGAGGAATAACCAAAACAGAGGTTGGAAATGAAATGATAATCTTTATAACATCAACAAAATACAATACTCGCCAGTGATTTTAAGTAGGTAAACTACTGCCAGTGGAAGACCACTTAGACAGCATATTACCCTCCCCCCACTTACAATAATGTCCAACATATTTATGAGGATTGGGACACACCTATTAGTGTTCTTAGGTATGGCATATAACACTATCTGTTGTAACCTAGAAAGGGTTACTGAATGAGGAATAACCAAAACGGAGGTTGGAAATGAAATGGTAATCTTTATAACATCAACAAAATACAATACTCGCCAGTGACTTTAAGTAGGTAAACTCTGCCAGTGGAAGACCACTTAGACAGCATATTACCCCTCCCCCACTTACAATAATGTCCAACATATTTATGAGGATTGGGGACACACCTATTAGTGTTCTTAGGTATGGCATATAACACTATCTGTTGTAACCTAGAAAGGGTTACTGAATGAGGAATAACCAAAACAGAGGTTGGAAATGAAATGATAATCTTTATAACATCAACAAAATACAATACTGCCAGTGATTTTAAGTAGGTAAACCACTGCCAGTGGAAGACCACTTAGACAGCATATTACCCTCCCCCACTTACAATAATGTCCAACATATTTATGAGGATTGGGACACACCTATTAGTGTTCTTAGGTATGGCATATAACACTATCTGTTGTAACCTAGAAAGGGTTACTGAATGAGGAATAACCAAAACAGAGGTTGGAAATGAAATGGTAATCTTTATAACATCAACAAAATACAATACTCGCCAGTGACTTTAAGTAGGTAAACTCTGCCAGTGGAAGACCACTTAGACAGCATATTACCCTCCCCCCACTTACAATAATGTCCAACATATTTATGAGGATTGGGACACACCTATTAGTGTTCTTAGGTATGGCATATAACACTATCTGTTGTAACCTAGAAAGGGTTACTGAATGAGGAATAACCAAAAACAGAGGTTGGAAATGAAATGATAATCTTTATAACATCAACAAAATACAATACTGCCAGTGACTTTAAGTAGGTAAACTTCTGCCAGTGGAAGACCACTTAGACAGCATATTACCCTCCCCCCACTTACAATAATGTCCAACATATTTATGAGGATTGGGACACACCTATTAGTGTTCTTAGGTATGGCATATAACACTATCTGTTGTAACCTAGGAAGGGTTACTGAATGAGGAATAACCAAAACAGAGGTTGGAAATGAAATGGTCATCTTTATAACATCAACAAAATACAATACTCGCCAGTGATTTTAAGTAGGTAAACTACTGCCAGTGGAAGACCACTTAGACAGCATATTACCCTCCCCCCACTTACAATAATGTCTAACATATTTTTGAGGATTGGGACACACCTATTAGTGTTCTTAGGTATGGCATATAACACTATCTGTTGTAACCTAGAAAGGGTTACTGAATGAGGAATAACCAAAACGGAGGTTGGAAATGAAATGGTAATCTTTATAACATCAACAATATACAATACTCGCCAGCAGTGTAAAGTAGGTAAACCACTGCTGGTGGTGGACTACTTAGACAGCATATTACCCCCACTTACAATAGTGTCCAATGTATTTAGGAGGATTGGGACATGCCTATTAGTGTTCATAGGTACAGTATATAATAAATGAGGAAAAAACTAGAGGCAGCAAATATGTGGTCCTACAGAAAGGTACTGAAAATTCTATGGAAAGAGTGAGTAAACAAAAAAGATGTCTTAAAGAAAATGGCAACAGAAAGAACACTTCATCTCAAAATAAGGAAAAGACAGAGACTGAAATTCCTTAGACACAGAATGAGGAAAGAGGGATTGGAAAACTTAATCCTCACAGGGCATATTGAGGGCAAGTGAAATAAGGAAAGGTGGCGAGTCACTTACAAAGGAGAAAAACTGCTAAAAGCCACAAGGAATAGGAAGTTATGGAGGGCCATGATCATCTATGTCATGAAGAGAAACAGCAAATATAAGAAGAGGTACCCACCAGGTAGAATTAGACAGCTGGATACAAACAGGGTGAGGCAGACAAGTAGATAGACATACTGGAATAGATATGAAAACATTGGAAGACTACACAAAATCAAATGATGGTAAGAAGACTGTGATGCAACAAGTTTATCAAACAAGTAAAGCTTGTTTGCTTTGAAGAAACAGAAAACAGCATTCTTTAAAAAAAGAAAAAAAATTTCAAATTTTTTATTCGGGACTCAAAATCAAGAGTGGGGGATATAAGTGTATGTAGAAAAGTTCTTAGCCTGAACAAGAAAGGATTCCAGAAGCAATTGTATGCTCAGGCCTTCTTCAGCATAGAAATTAATACAATATGGGAACCAGTATTAAGGAGTGCCAGAGAAAAGTGATAATAACAACAAAAATTGTAATATGAGCTCTGGTAAAAACATGATTTGATAACAGCAAAAATTGCAATATGAGCACTGGTAAAAAAGGGTTGCTGAAAACATTCGGTTTGTAATACCCAGAAATTCATACACATTTGTCCTCAAGGAGACATGGCACAGTGGATAAAGGCATTGGTTAGTGTGAGTTCAATACCTGGTTAAGGCAGTGGTGAGGGGAATTAACAGGAGATAACTGATAACTAACATCCATTAAAAAATCATGGCATGTGGAACTAGAACAGTCTACCCCAGTAAGCGAAATAAAAGGGTTCAGTTCAACATTCCAAACACCTAAAGAAGGCCAGAACATTATAATAAATATGGTGACAAAATGAGGACAATAGTCTGAATAATGTAAATAGTGTAGGGAAAAGAAATATTGATAGATGTTCATATCAATCTTTTTAAATAATATATCTAGATAGATTTTTTTCTATCTATCCAGTCTGTTCACATTTTTTTGAATCATTTCATGCCAAGCAAAGTGGAAATGCTATTAGTAGGATGGGGGTTACAGGGTTGGTTGCTTGATTTTGTTTAGCAGCATATCAACCTCTATGGGTTATTTAATACTGAAATCTAAATAGTTTGAACACAATTTTATGGCTTCAACTAAATATATTTTGAATGTAATGGTATACCTTCAACTACAGATAAAATGTGTTACTGATCATTTTGCTTTAAAATTGTACTTTTGATAATTTTACTATATAAAAAAATGTATAACTCTCAAGCCCAGTGGATAAAGATGTTGGTTAGGTCCAGTGACTAGACCCAAAGACTTGTGAGTTCAATACCAGGCCACAGCAGTGGTGAACAAAAAATATGGAGAGTTGAGTTAAAAGGAAATAACCGGGACATCTGGAAGAGGCATGGCACGTGGAACTAGAAAAATCTACCCCCAGTGGATGAAATTAAGGGTTCGGTTTGAAATTTCGGTCACCTGAAAAAGGACGGAGTGTACAACAGCCAAAACGTTGTGAATATGGCAATGATGAGGAGGATAACAGTTCAAATAATGTAAATAATGTAAGTATACCTTGAGATTCTTGACAAAATTCAAATTAAATTCTCTAATATAATTAATCCTAAACTGGCATCCCAACTTTAATCACTTTCTCACAGACATGACATGGCTTCTCTCTGTCTTTTCTATAAATATTTACCTTGCAATTGTTCTGATGAGTTTTTACCTTGATGCCTCAACTGAAAGAATTTAAAAGTGCTACCAGATTGGAAAGTAAGTCTCACCATTTTACTGTTGGACTATTTAGATGTAACCATTAGTTCTATTCTAATGGTTTCTTTTCTTGCACTTCTCACCTGTGGAACTTGAAATTTCCATCTCCAAAAATTCAAATGCAGCATCAGTCAAATCCTTTCTGAATCCTGTTCCTGTGGAACTTGCAATTTCTTTCTTTCCTGCAAACTTACAATCTCCAAAAATTTAAATACAGCTTCAGTTGCTATTTTTTGCATTCTTGAATCCTTATTTACATTATTCAGACTATTGTCCTCATATTTGTCACCATATTTATTACATTGTACACTTTGTCCTTCTTCAGGTGGTTGGAATGTCGAACTGAACCCTTTATTTCACTCACTGGGGTAGACTGTTCTAGTTCCACGTGCCATGTTTAATGGATGTCAGTTATCAGTTATCTCCTGTTAATTTCCCTCTGAAAGTTCTCCACTGCCTTAGGGGTGACAGGTATAGACAACAATAGGCCCAACAATGGGTTAAATATTGCCCAATTGAGATCTTTACCCTTGGATGGCAACCAGTCTATGAGAATGACAACTCCAAATTAAAAACCAGTTGGACTTGGGGCTAGCAATCACATCCGATAAAAACCTACTTGCTATGGAAATGGTAACAGTAGCAATGTATAGTGTGCTTAGAGCTTTTGGCCCTAAACTGCACAGATGGAGTCCATTGGGCTTCAGGGAGCTGAGTGAGTGAGACAACAACAGGAACATGATCATTAATATCTCCATTGGACTGATCTATTTTTACAGCAAGTACACTAAGTGTCTGGATGGTCCCAAACCATACTGGGGAGATAGCTCAGATCCTCAACACAATTGCGGAGCAAAAATCTACATAATGCCAAAATCCTTGTTAAGCTAACATACACACTTAATGAGTGGGTTAATATATGCTATGTTCTTAAGTTTCTTCCTTCACAAATCCTAATCTCTGTTAGAAAAGGTAATATGTACCCCACCTCCAGATATAGTCGGCAGATTTTTCCATTTCACCTTTTGGTTATCACTTATTCTCCTTGAGCCTGACTTTAAAACATTTAGTTTCTCACAATATACTTTGCCACATCTGCAAGGTACATTATAAATGCAATTCTTAATCAGACTTTCCTTTCTTAAGAGATCAAGAATGTTGCAAAATAGTAAATTTGCAATTAGATAAAACCTTGATTATGTAATGTCTTTTTTATATTTGGCACGTTTAGACAAATTATTCTAGCTAGCTCAAATCAGCTACAGAGAAAAATGCCTATTGATTAATTGGGTTATATGGCTATTTGCCAGGTGTTCTGTTTAGGATTTATAACAGGCATATTCTTTTAACAAAATTGTGTTCTTTTATAAACAAAAAGTAGATGATAATAAAAGAAAACACTTGTAAAAAATATGGCTTCTCTACCACAAAGATTATTTCTATAAACTGGTTACACCCACTTTATGTTGTCCTGTAGACATGTTTGCATAAACCAGTAATAGTCACTTATTGATGGATTGTTAAATTTGGGTATAAGTTTACCTACTGACACTATATGTTTCATTATGCGCACTTTGTTAATATACCTCAGTTCATTCATCCGTGCCTGCCTATCTGGCTGTTCAAATGTATGTATCAATTTGTTCATCTCTATCTGCCAATCTGTCAATATCTGTTCAAATGTATACATTACTTTGTTAATATACCTCAGTTCTTACATCCCTGCTTGCCTATCTGTCAATATCTCTCACACTGTTCATATTCACTTTGCGTTGTTCACCTTTCATTATCTGCTTTTGTCTCTCAATCAATTTCTGTTCTTGTTTTTCTCAGTTGATTTCTCTTTGCAGAGATATGGACTATCATAGAAGAGAGAATTGTCAAACAGCATTCAAAGTTTCAGCTGCGGCCATAAAGTGATCATTTTGTCTTAATGCCCTAACGGAAGGACACGTCCATTTTTACCACCCACAACTTTGCAGGCCAGTTGGAGTTCTTTAGCATTGTAAAATAGCAAATGTAAGAGAAAAGAAAACTAGTTTCACAGTCAACTTAACTGCTCCCATGACTGGTTGAGAAATACAAAAGGCCAACCCTGTAAAAGTTTATACATGCTACAGAAATCATACTTATTATAAAACCCAGGTTGTGTGTGTGTGTGTGTCTGTACGTTTATATATTGGATCGGATTTCCTACATTTTTCAACCGATTTCAACAAAAATTCACAGGACTACGTAAAATTACCTTGTGGTGGTTCTGACAGCGCCAAAAATTGGAAAAATACAATTGTTTTTGCACAAAATCTATTTTAAAACACGATTAAGAGGCATTAATGAAAGGGGGACAACTCATATCAAGTTATACTTATTAATATCGAGTTATCGAGTCATACTTATTATAAAACCCAGGTTGTTTGTGTGTGCGTGTGTGTTCGTTTATATATGGGATCGGATTTCCTACGTTTTTCAACCGATTTCAACAAAACTTCACTTTTTTTTGGCAGGTAGTGTTTCTTATTGTCTTGCACACTTTTTTCTTTAGTTTTACATTCAGAATGCTTTAAAAATTCCATTTACAAGACAATTGTTTATAATAAAATTCTATTCAATCAGTAGACTCATCATAACGATTGAAAACAATGTTTTTGTTTGGGTTTGACAAATTCGTATAAAAAAAAAGAAAAAAAAACTAATTAAGACATGCGTGTCCGTCAACCTTAAATAATAATCTTTGTCAATTTTATTTTTCAGTCTTTATGATGGTCGATACTTGATCTATCTCTTACTGTTACATCCCCAGGCAACGCCGGGCTCTACTGCTAGTGATGAATAAGTCTTCGATGAAAATAAATCTCATTCTATTCAAAATAGAGACAAGTGTTCCACAAGACACCTCATTGTGTGGGGGAAAATCTACTACTGCTACATATCTATCTCCATCTCTTTATGTCTGTCAGTTGAGCCTAACTCTCCCAGCCAATTCATATCTGCCTGTAAGGGAGCACCTTGATGTGGTATAATGGTTAGCAAGCTTGTTTTGTGAGAACAATTACAACTGAGTAGTGAGTTCAATCCTCACTAGATGCCCATACTTTCGGCCTTGTGCCACATCTGAACTATGCTTAGAAAATCACCATATCTATCTGTAAGGCAGTACTGAAAAGTTCTCAGCCCAACCCACTCTCAAAATCTGACAAAATCAAGTCATCAAGATCTGGAGCTTTGATTATACTGCTGCAGATTTCCCAGTGACTGGGGGGTAGGCAGCTCTTTTTTCAAGCATGCATGTCAAGCAGGCTAATGTGAGCAAGACTGCACTCTTGTACATCCCTCCCAATGCAGTCCTTCATCTTCCTACGTCTACCTCGACCTCTGTGACCTGGAACCCTGAACTCTGAGATAGTCCTGATGCATGACAAATCAT